CGAACGAAAACTACGTATAAGGTTCACTTTCTTCACAGACAGAAATTCACTCCTGTTGTTTACTGCTACTATCAAGCAGGGACTTTTTTTCACCCGATGAACGCTATGCTGGTGGAAACTAGTCGAGGAACCTAACTGAAAAAATAAAACAAAAAATATTAATATACAACAAAGTTTGTCTGAAAAGTTTGGAATTTTTGATAATTTTTTATTGTTCAAAATCTATCTATATATATATATATATATATATATATATAGAGAGAGAGAGAGAGAGAGAGAGCGGTGCAAGATTATATTATTCGTCTATGCTTTGAAAATTCCTGTCACGTCTGATCTGGTCTGGTGCATTTGCTATATATCCAGATAAAATTGTCAAAGTCACTCTCTACGGATGTAATCTATCTTCTCTGTGCCTTTTTTCTGTAAATAACCTGAAGCTATTTTTTTATGTGATGAGATTTCCTATTTGGTACCAAGAGTGAACGAATTTAAGGCCATTACTAGTTTGGTTGCAAGGTCTTATGATTTTACTGTTCAAATCGCTATACATAACCGAAAGTTCTATGCTAACAGATTCCTCCCTCGCACTTTTCACTTGCGGTTTCTTACTTAATAGTCAACACTGATCTTCATAAATTTAAATGCAATGTTAGTCCTTATCTTTTGTTTTTCTAATTCCTGTTCTTTTATTGTTCGCACTGGCTAGGTCCTTGAGGCTTAGTTGCCTTGTTTGAGTTGAAATGATTTAGAAAAAAAGTCGAACATAAAAAGAAGGGGTAACAAAATATATATTTCCTTAAAATTTGATCATGTATGCAAAAGGGAAAAAATAAAATATTTTATGGGTTTTATTTTTAAATTTATGAACCAACAATTAAAACAACCAAACAGTTTCATGAACACTCGTTAATCAGAGCAGAGACTGGGGCACATTATTTCCACTTTCTTCTCCCTCCAGCTATGGTTAAATAGCAGGACAGAATGGGTTCTATAGCCTTGGATGGCAACAGGTCTAGGAGAAGGAAAACTCTGAATTCAAACCTGCTCTTAGAGGAGGGTGAATGGAGTCTCTCTGAGCCTTGGTTGGCTATCCATTTAGAGATGGTGTCACGATAAAAACACCCTTGATAGCCCTAGCGAAGCATAAAGAATTTAGCTACTTGACAAGATTATGAACAAGACAATTCAAAGTATTAGTTAGTTCCATCTCGGCTGAGGCCGCAAAATGATGATGATGATTTCCTTGACATTGGCTCTGGTGAAAGAGGAGCTATAAACCGATTTAGCTGTTTTTAAACCATTGTTATATTTCGGTGTTACAATGTAAAGGATAATATATATTGTCGTTAACGCTTTCTTTTTTTGTTATGAGCTGTTTTTTTATTGTTTTTTTTTTAGTTAAAAATATACCTCTTTCTTTCTTCTCTCTCTCTCTCTCTATATATATATATATATATATATATATATATATATATATATATATATATACACACACACACACACACACATATATATATATATATATATATATATATATATATATATATATATGTGTGTGTGTGTGTGAAAATATATAGAAAATAGGAAAAAGAACTCGTTAGGTAAATAATCCAAAGTTCTTTAGTATTTTTGTTATTATTTAAAAAATAGTGCTCGATACAAAAGTAGAGCATAAATATACATATATTTAAAAATATGATTCAACACGCTACATAAGAGTTCTCATGTTTCAAAACAAGAGCCGAAAAATTCAATATAATTATTTGAATAAAATTGCATTAAAGTACTAAGCTCTGTTCCATCTTCAAGCGAATTTTTTTTTTAATTTTAGATTCCAAAAACATTTCGCTTGAAGATGGATGCTTAACTTTTTTAATTCAATTTTATTCAAATAATTATTTGAATTTTTCGGCTCTTGTTGAAAAACATGAGAACACTTTTATGTAGCGATGGAATCATATTTTAAATAATAATATATATATATATATATATATATATATATATATATATATATATATATATAGATAGATAGATAGATAGATAGATAATATATTAGTGGTAAATATACGCATACATATTCAATCATATGTCTAAAATATATAAATATATATACATACATACATACATACACATACATATATATTTGTATAAAAAATAAATCCAAGAGGATAGAATCCAGGTAGAACTCAATGTCCAGGACAGAGTAAGGATATAATAAAAAGGCTTAAACACTAATATTCCATGGTCATAATTTATTCCATTGGAATCGTAAATACGATCCAATTCACCATGACTACAAATGTTTGAATCTGTAGGTCTGATTTAAGCCTTTTTTTATATATATATATATATATATATATATATATATATATATATATATATATATATATACGGAAAAGTAAGTATTTGTACATATAAAAAAATTTAGTTTTATTGCATTTCCAACTAATGAATATACTTTTTTTCACACATTAAATGGGATGAGTGGAATTTATTTTTATAAAATCAATTTTTTTCTGTTTTTAATGCATATTTATATAATAAATCTCAAGATTCTCAACAAAATCCAAAGGAAGGTTTGTAATGCTATCGGTCCTGACCGGCCATCTCCACTTTCTCAAAGCGTTGACATGGCTTCACTCTGCCTTTCCTATACATAGTTTAACAGCAATTTCTTCCTTCCATCTGAATGGCATATGTTAACTACGCAACTAAATCTCATCATCTCACTTACTTATATATATATATATATATATATATATATAAGTGAACATAGAAGTCAACCCTTAGAGGCGTTCAGTCTATTTCATGCTATATGCAATCGTCAGCCAACGGGTGCTGTTATTTTTCTCGGCTATTTATACATATACAGGTCAGTTGTGCATTGTGGGTAGTCTATTATGGCGGTTATTTTACCGGAAGTCGTTTATGTATTTATTTGGGTTAAACTATTATGCTTGTTTTTATTTTTTGTTTCTTATTTTATTTATTTATTTATTTTTAATCGGTGTTTTTATTAACGTAGTAAAAATTTGTTTATATCACTTATTTTATAGTTTTGTTTTGGTTTGAGAATTTAATTAAAGCTATTTGTTCGGTTTTGGGGGTTGGTTGTTGTAGTTTATTCTAACTATTATTTTGGCCGGAACAGTTTTTAATTTGTGTTTATTTGGGTTGATTATCTTTATTTGTTTTTTTCTAACGGTAACTTTATCGGGGTTGGTTTGTTTATTTATTTACTTGGATGAATTTAGGTCAATTTATTTTCCTTGTATATTTTCTCTTTTCGGTTTTCGATTTTTAAGTAACGTATTATTTATTTATTTTATTTTATTTTTTATCGTTATATAACAGTTTTAGATATGTTTTCGTCCGATTTTTTGGATACATATATTGATATTGATATTGATTTCAGTCTTCTTGATAGATGAAACCTGTGTTAGCAACATTTTTAAACTAAAATTACATCATCTTTCTCTCCGAGTTTAAAATTGATTCAACAATTAAAAAGAATAATAGTTATCAT